CAGGTCTGAGGAGGAGCATCTAGAGCATTTGAAGGTGGTTTTAAAAGTTATACATGAGCATCAGCTGAGGGCCAACCTAAAAATTGTAGCTTCGCACAGGCTAGTGTGGAAAACTTGGGGCACGTGGTATCCCAGGAGGGAGTGGCAGCCGAACAAACTAAAATTGAAGCAATTCAGAAGTGGCTTCTACCTAGGAATCTAAGAGAGTTGAGGGGCTTCCTAGGGTTGACTGGTTATTACAGGAGATTCGTGAGAGGATACATCACCATAACTTGGCCATTGACTGAGTTACTCAAGAAGGATAGCTTCTTGCGGAGAGAGACTACTACTCAGGCTTTTGAGCGACTAAAAAGGGCCATGACTACAGTTCCAGTTTTGGCTCTCCCTATTTTCAGTCAAATCTTTGTAGTGGAGACGTGTTAGGATATGAGTTAGGGGTCATGCTCATGTAGAATCACAGACCCTTAGCTACTTCAGCCAAGTGTTGTCAGTTCGAGCTAGAATGAAGTCAGTATATGAGAGGGAATTGATGGCCATTATGCTGGCCATTCAAAAGTGGCTTCATTACTTACTTGGTCGGCATTTAATTGCCAGGACCAACTAGAGAAGCTTGAAATACTTGCTAGAGCAAAGGATGATGACAGAGGAGCATCAGAGGTGACTGTCTAAACTGTTGAGCTATGATTTCGAGATCTAGTATATACCAGGATTGGAAAATAATGCGGTTGATGCTTTATCAAGATGTGTGGGGGAGCTATAGGAAATGTCTATTTAAGTACCACTGATGGTAGATTGGGGGGCTATCAAAGAAGAGAGTATGTAGGACGAGGAGCTGAGGAAGAAAAGGGAGGATTTATTAAATGATGAGAGCAGCCACCCATGTTACTCTCTTGAGGGGGAGAGACTCTTATACCAAAGGGAGGTTTGCGATGTCATGAACCTCAGTTTATATTCCTCATTTGCTGTAGGAATTCAATGGGAGCGCGGTCGGAGGCCATTTGATGGTGCATAAAATATACAGAAGGTTGGCAGCAAAATTGTATTGGAAAGGAATGCATAAGGATGTGGAGAAGATAGTAGTTAGAATGTGAGGTTTGCCAAAGAAATAAGTACATGACTGTGGCTCCAAGAGGATTACTTCAACCCTTAGTTCTTCCCGATAGAGTATGGGAGGAGGTTACCATGGATTTCATAGATGGGTTACCACGATCCAAGGGGTTCACAGGGATTATGGAGGTGGTTGACAGGTTGAGTAAGTATGCTCACTTTATCCCTTTAAGACATCCCTACACAGTAATCACATTAGCAGGAGCATTCATCAGGGAGGTGGTTAGATTGCATGGAATTCTAGAGTAGATAGTTTCATATCGAGATAAGGTGTTTCTCAGTCAATTCTGGAAGGAGTTATTCATGCTGTAAGGAACAATTCTCAAGAGAAGCATCGCTTACAACCCATAGGCAAATGGGCAGACAGAAGTTGTCAACATGGGATTAGAGACTTACCAGCGGTGTTTTGTCTTTTAGACACCTCGATTGTGGGTCAAATGGCTAGCATGGGCGCAATACTGTTACAACACTTCATATCACTCGGTCTCTCGAGTGACGCCTTTTAAAGTGCTGTATAGAAGAGACCCAAAACACATGGTGCAATTTGAGCAGAGAAACACACTGGGTTGTCTCTTTAGTAGAGTAGTACTTGGAGGAAATGGATATGGTGTTAGATGAATTGAAGCGACACCTATTGAGGGAACATTACATCATGAAGAAGCAAATAGATGCACTTAGGGAAGACATTCAGTTCGAAGTTGGGAATAGGATGCTCTTAAAACTGCGATCCTATAGATAGAGGACAGTAGCCAGTAGGGGGAACGAGAAATTGGCCCCGGGGTACTATTACCCCTACGAGATATTGGAAAAGATTGGAGCAGTGGCCTACTGCTTAAAGTTACCCTCAATCGGCACTATACACCCAATATTCCATGTGTCACAGTTGAGGAGAGCTCTGGGAAGCATGCAGTTAGTGCAGATTTACCGACGGCACAGACTGAGGATTTGGATGTTGTGTTAGAACCATTGGAGCTAAAAGGGTGAGATCAGGAAAAGGGAGGAACAAAGAAGTGTTGATTAAATGGAGTGGCCTACCCGACTTCAACGCCACTTGGGAACCATATGAGAGGGTGAAGCATCAATTTCCTTCATTTCATTTTGAGGAGAAGGTGAGTCTTTGGGAAGAGGGTAATGTTAGACTGGCCCAAGGGCCGACTGAATCGGTCCCTTTTAGACAGGTTCACATGTTTAGGAGGCGAAGGGGGGGGGGATCCTGGATGGGGTAAAATCAAGTGTGGGGCCCACACAATAATGGTGATGGTTTAGGAGGGGAACTTCAAATTAAGGATTGTTTAGGGATTAATGAATTGTATGTTTTCTTTAAGTAGTTTTCTTCTTGCTAAGATTAGGTTTTATCATGAATTGAATGTGAAATTTGAGATCTCTGTTTTGGTTTTGGGCAATAGATATCGACTAGAGATTGGAGAGCTAAATCTTCTTCTCAAATTGAAGATTCATTGTATCAGATTGTTTTTCTCATCTCTTACTTAATTCTATGTGCTCGCTTTGCTATTTCCCTACAAAATTTGTAAAATCTACTTGTTTTTTGCTGAATTTCTCTGAAATTCAGCATAGTTTTCACTATTTTGGTTGTTTTTCCTATCAGGGTTCTGCAAACGGAGAAGAAGCAATGATGCTTCCTGCGAAAATGGATGAAGAAACGCTCTCACTCACGCTCCTGAGTTCCTTTTTCCCTTGATTCGGCCGGTTTTACTTACGTTGAGAAAAGCTAACACGTAGAGTTTAGAATTGGTTCGGATTTATTTTTTACTTTACTTTATGTAAAACCAATCACCTAAGAAGTTAAAATTCTTACATTTACTTTACTTTACACTCACTTTATTTCCAATCAAACATCCCCTAAGTGCGAAGTAAAGTAAATGCAGGTTTTGAAAAGTTTGATGTTTGGTTGGATGAAAAATAAATTCAAGGTTGCAGTGTGTTCCATTTTAGTTCATTTTTGAGGTAACTGTTCTCACCCAATTTTGAGTGAGAACCGTTTACACCACTCTAAAACTTGCTTGACCAGGGAACTAGCCGTAAAACAAAGAATCATGCTAAAGGCAGGGATCCACATGGCAACTAACTTACTAGGGCCATGTGTTTGTGACAATCTTTAAAAGTCATTTCATATATTGAATTTTCTATTTGTTCTAGGTGTAGCATTCTTTGTAGCCATGCAAGTCCTATACATAAAAGATGAAGTGGCATTATTATGATCTTTTTTGGGACCTCATTTTATGTTAAGATTTATGGAGATTCTAAAGCTCTTTCTCCTTATCATCTCTCACTTATATTTTACTGCTAGTAAGGTCTGGTGTTATTCATGGAAAAACTTGGATCCAACAAATGAAGCATGCAACAATCAAGCTGCCGAAATTAGGGGTGTAAGTGAGCCGAGCCGAGCCGACTCGAGCTCGGTTCGCGATCGAGCTCACGAGTCGAGCTCAAGCTCGAACGCGAGCTCGTTTAGTTCGAGTTTGAGCCGACTCAGTCGTAAGCTTGCGAGCCGGCTCGAACTGTTTGATTTTTTTTAATTAATAATATTTGTCAATATATTTAAAATTTTCCAATACCAACTACCAATACCAATTATAGACGCATAATAAAAAAATTCTCCAATACCAAGGCTAATAAATGTTGCAGCTGTTAAAACTATGCCAAAACTGACGGGATTACTAAAACATTGAGATTTAAAATATATATATATATATATATATATATATATAATTAAAAAGATGTGATATGCTAATAAATGTTGCAGGATCTTGAGCTCACGCCATTGGCATTTGTAAAGTCACATTCTTCTTTGCTCGAGTTCCGCATCAGCTCTCCACAAGTGCGAGAATCGGACGGAAAAAAAAAACGGGCGGGAAATTGACGCAGGTGGACACGATCGGCTCGATGAGCTTGATAAAGTATCGCGAGTTGAGTTCGAGCTCGACTTGAGCTCACCTTCCAACTGACGAGCTGAGCTCGATGGTGCTAAAAGTTGACTTGACTCGTTTCGTTTATATCCCTAGCTGAAATAGTCAAATAATTCTCTTTAGGCCTGTCATGCAACCGTTTATTTATTTGTTTATTTTCTTAAGAGCACAGGTAGCACCCGTTTAGAATGAAATTGTGTGATGTGCTCTTCTTCTTGATTTTGACTGATTGAACACCATGTTAAATGTTATAATCTAGTATACACATTGGATTATTTGTAAAATTTTATTGGTTTAGTCTGCTCTGTAATTCTGTACAAGAAAAAGCGTTGGAATGTATGTTCACTTTCCATAATTAAATGTATCTTGAACTCCATTGAACAGCTTTAATAAATGTAGATGGCATCAAATAAGAGCATACGCATATTTGCGAGGTTATCTTGAGTCCATACACTTTATTAAGCCATGAAGCTTCTCAATGTTGATTGTCCAACCTGTAGCTGAAGCTGGAAGCATAAAGCATATATTTATTTTTTTCACTAGTTTAATTTTGATTAATTTTCCAGAGTAGATTGACTTTTTGCACCCATATTTTAGAAGCAGCGAACATTTAAACTTTTTTTATCACCTACATAAGATTCATTGTTTGAAATTCAGTTACCTGTCTGCTTTTGTGGTTATCGAGCCTTCAAAACATTATCAACACTGGCCAAATCATCAATTTAGAGTTCAAGCCATTGTCTTTCCCGTTTTACTTAATATAAGGGATAATAATTGTAGAACACCCCAAAATTTTTTTTTCTTATATTTTTATTATGCATAAGCGTGACATAAATGGCTTTCTTTGTGCCATTTATAAAGCAACATAAAATTTTATGTTTTGCTAAATTTTTTTTCTTGAAATTTGATCTAGTAAATATTCTCCAGCAATGTAGCATTTAATTGACATTTTGCAAAAATACTCAGGGATCTATATCAGTCAGCATGTCCATATATGAAACACTTTTTTGCTTTGTGTGTTGTCACCTAACTTCTGGAGAAAAGGAAGGTGATAAACTTCGAAGAAATACTGATGTTCAAGAAATTCACCGAAGGACACAATTTCGATCAACCTCTAGTATTGGTTTACCAAAAACTATTTCTGAGCATGAGTAAGTCAACTGAATTACCGTCACTATACATCATCTGGCTTCTTGGCTTTCAACAATATGCCGTCACATTTTGCTATTTTTTTCCCTTCTAAGCATCCTTGAAGTTTATCATACACTTGTTTTACTCTTTTTCATAGAAAGATTTTCTGGCTTGGTGATCTAAACTACCGCATAGATTTTCCATATGAAAAGACGCATGAGCTTATCTCAAGAAAAGAATGGTCTAAGCTAGCTGAGGGTGATCAGGTAGTATTTTGACCTTTTTTGAACTGCCTACTTGGATTGATGATTTTTCTCCTCTGTATACATTTTCCACAGCTCATTTTATTTTGCATGAAGTTTTATCAATATATTTCTTGGATCTTCTGAAAAATAGAATGAATAAAACTCCCATTTCGTTCCTCAAATAGAATGCCTCTTTTTTATTCAAGAATATGAACAATTCCGTATATACTTGTTATCTCTTTTTAGATGTATGTAATACTATCCATTTTCTTTGTGCAAGTCGCTACAAGTTTAAATTTTCATTCTGTCCCTGTTTATCAAACATCTACTTTAACTCTCATTCTTTCTCCTTGAACATGGCAATTCGTAACACAAGATTCATATAATGTAGTATGTCTTATTTTAGAGCGATATCTATTGAGGAAAATGTCATGGACAATTGAAGTAGATAATTGAGACAATAATGTTAAAAAAAAAAACCTTCACAAAACATTTCATATGCTACCCACGTGTTGTCTCAAGCACCAATAACAACCCCAAAACAAAAATTGCAGTGTAGTGTGAGAAATCTCTACAATCATGTCTTTCAAGGATGAGAATGAAATCTAGCTGCCTACATATGAAATCAAGGCTAGCTGAACATGCTAAGTATGTGGTAATGATAACAACATTGTTAAAAACGTGTTAGGATATGAGAAAATAGGATTATGAGATTGAGGTTTCAAGAAATACAAGATAGGGCCACTATGATGCAAGAAATGACCCTCTCTCAAATTTTGATAATCACAGAGGCACTAACCTAGATAGCATCTCCAAGTTATTCTTTTATAATGAAAATATGGCTATAATCATTAGGGATGAAATTACACATCACATTACTCATATTGGAGAGTTAATTTTGCATATCCAAAAAGGTAGACTAACATTAAAAAAATGTCTATCTTTAATGCAAAACCAATCTTTTTGATATTCAAGTATGTTATTTTTTATGAAATTTTTTCTAAAATTAAGATTTACTAATACTTCTTATGAAGAAGGTGGAATTAATAATCAAGGTAGTGGTGCCCCTTTAGTAACTCTGCTTCTAGTTATCTTTTGTCAAAATGTGTGTCCGAGCAATCACCCATACAAAAGGATTGATGCTTAAAGAAATGAAAAAATCTTTTTATTCCAATTTTCAAGATAATGTTCATTAGGGTCCTTCAATATGATATATCTCATTCATCTCCCATTACATTTCATTATAAAAAAGTTGATGCTATATTTAGGGGGTGTTTAGTTAGCTGTAAAGGGAATGCAATGTAAAGTAAATAGTTTGAGATTGTTTAGTTATTTGTAAAGTGAATACAGTGGAACTTTTATTTTGTTTGGTTGGGTGTATACAAAGTAAAGTAAAATCGATACATTCTAAATACTTAGAGGTTGTTTGATTGTGTATTTACAAAGTCTGGTAAAAATATTTTAATTTATATTTTGAGTCCATATTGATAATTATAATTTTATGAGAATTTTAAATGTTTACACACATTATTAAAATATTTTGCTGCATGAGCTATCACGGCTTTGCACTTTTCAGCAGACTAGCAACATGTCAATTGTAAAAATAATAGTAGATGTATTCTATAGCATATCAATTCTTTTCTACTCAATGAAGCTCAATAGAATTGAGTTAAAAGCTACAACAACAAATCCCAAAATATTAACAATATCAAACCAAGGTTTTAGCACCCAATAGACTTTACAAAAACTATAGCAATATAGTTGGCATTCAAAATGTCTTCTTCAATTCTTCTTGTATATTCTATCATTAACAAAGTATTATCTCATGGAAAAAATATTTGCAATATAAACAATAATCAAATTGATGTAAATGTTAAAGAATGGAATACAGTACAAAGTGTTGAATCCAAATTGTATACCAATGTCATTCTTCTGATGCAAATGAATCATTTTGTTTAACTCTTTTCACATCTATCGAGGCTTTGATTCCTTAGGTTTGGAGAGGAAGGAATGAATCATTGTTGTATTATTAGATAACTTATCATAAATACTATCAATCTCTTCCTCCAAAAACTTTGGAATGCTAGATAACTCTGTCGTGAGCTCAATAAACATTTTTCTTTCCTTTGAAGGTCTTGTTGTTGTTTGAATTGCATGAGCAACTTGAAATACACTATTAGTTATCATTGTAATATAATCATGGAGAATATGATCATCAACAAACCTTTTAATTTTTTTCCATTGGATGGACCCCTTAGAAGATGACGACATTTCTCGCTTTGTTTTTCCTACAAGGTATTCTCTAACATTTTGTTTAGGACAGTCAACATATACTAATATATCCACAGGAGTCTTCACAAAACAAACTGTCTTCTCATCATCCAAATTAATATGTTAAGAACCAAATGGAGCTTGGCAATTTTCTAACCTAGCCCAATCTCCAGTTGCATGACCTTCACCACAATCTTTCTCTAATTCCATATAATTTGGGAGATGAATATTAAGATATATTGCATCTTTTGAAAAAGCCTATAATTATTTAGATTAGTTAGCGTAAAAGAAAAATTGTATCTTTACATTTGTAAAATCTCATATGAGTTCGAAATATTACCTATATATGCGATAGAAACTCCTCTTGACCCAATAAGATAGTTTTCATAATATCATCCCAAGACACGTCAGACTTCTTTTTTTAATTCTTGAATGCAATTCCAAAAACTTCTTTGATATCTAATCTGATTCATGCATTGCTCAATTGTGACCTTAATACCAAATTTCTCTTTTAATTTTTGAACGACGCCTTGATAAATAGTGTCTTTGAAATCGTTAGCACTTCTCACGTTTGCTTTGACATACTCACACATTATCTGTAATAACCCAGATATACATTTGAGTTTTAGACTCTAAAATAAGTTTTTTTTTCTCTTTTAAGATTTGGCACTTGATGCGCTAGATGGACCTTGTGAGTCCATTAATCCTGCAAATAACCATTTAAAACCTTGAAAATTCTTTGTAACTACCATTTACAATTATCTTATAATTTGATAACATCATGAAATTTAATAAGAAATATCTACCATAGTAACTTGATGTTTATTCAACAATCATGACTGAGCAGCATGACCATACGAGAGGAAGAGATAAATCAGGAAGAAGGGCATGCTCTAAACATCAAATTATTCCATCTCAAGATGGAAATAGATGAAATAAAACTTAATCATTTGTCAACTATTTGCAACTACTCCAACTTATTGCATGAATAACTTCTAAGAACAAGCATCATTGAATTTTCAAGGTTTAATTATAGCATCACTGAAATTATTCCATCTCAAGCAATTCAAAGTTGTTTAATTATACAACAAAAACAACAACATCAAGCCTTTATCCCACTACCTGTGGTTGGCTACATGAATCCTTTTTCTCCATTGTGTTATATTAAAAGTCAAATTCTCTTTTAAATTCAAAGTTATTTAATTATAGCATCACTAAAATTATTCAGGTAACAAGACTTGTTAGAACTAGCATTGGTAAAGTAACATTAGCAATTGATGATGGTGCCAATGATGTGGGCATGCTCCAAGAAGTAGACATTGGGGTTGATGCTGAAATTTTTGTTCTAGCACATACATTCTGCTACTTTTTCGAATAGGAGAAAGAGGAGAGATTGACATAGCTACGCGTTAAGGAGAATGGACCGAAATCTCGCCTCCTTGTTCCTCGAACTATTGAAATCTCACTAGCCGCACGCTCCCTATGATGGATTCGCACAAACAAAGAAACACAGGTGTGGGGTCCGAAAATTCGGCCCCAGCCTCCCCGCCGCGCTGATTTGCTTTTTCTTTTGGCGAGTGAGTTTTAACGGATTAAGTTCCGAGGTAAATTTTGGAAGGTAGATGGGTTTGTAGATAACACACTACCCAGAGATTTCGCCCTCATTTTGCGAGGACTTTATGATCTGAGTTCTAATTTCTTATAGGCGCAAGCCCCTATAGTTAATTACCCCTCTCGATCACGAGAGAGAACTTTCGATTAAGACTAGTCGTCAATCAGATACGTAGAGAATACATATTATATGGCATATAGTAGCAGCAATGGGTTTGGAATGTTAGGAAATTGAGAAAATTTGACGGGTTTGGATGTTTGAAAATGATTGAGAATTTAGGAATCTGAAGATTTTGAAGATTTGAAAATTTGATATTTAAAACAGAAATTACACCATCTTGCACTTAAAGCGGATGGTGGGGGAATGGATGATGGACTCGATCAAGATCCCATGGTTTCGTCGTCCCGGGCCATCATGGTCCCTGGTCTACTTAGTCATAGGAGGTAGTTGATCCAACCTGACAGAAGGATCCTTGTCGACAGTCATGGGTTGCTACGTCCAAGGGGACCATGTAGACCTGGGTTGGATGTTTGTCTAAGGGGACAAATTTGAATCCACCTTAGCTAACAGAGGGCTTTGTGCCCTATCGATCATATCTTATTGATTCATATCTCAAGGATTTGATGCTAATAAGGAACGTAACGGCGCTGGCCATAACCGGTATTTTGTTGTGCCATTTGGCGGCAAAACCACTCGGTTCAGAGGGTCCCTGGTCATAACCGTTTACCTGCAGTGCCATTTGACGGCAAAATTGCCGGTTAGAGGACACATACCACGTCCTTACTGGCAGGAGATTGGTTTGAGAATGGACCTTAGTGATATTTTCGACTAGGCATTTGACTCTTTGTGAGCTGAAGTATATTTTAATTTGTCCACCTCGGCAAACTGTTGCGGAGGATGGATGGAGTTTGCTTTGAGTGATTGAATGATTGAATTTTATTTTAAATATATGGATTTTGGGATTTTTTGGGTTTTTTAGATGTTTGTGGAGTTTTGGATTTTTGGGTATTTGGGTGGAGCTTTGAAGACATTTGAAAGTGTTTGTGAACCCCTCCGATTGAGATAGACATTCAACATGGTCATCATGGGGGTGTTTGGAATCATTTGAGAATATTAATATCTTAAACCTTGTCAACCT